CCAAGACGATGCTTACAGAATTTTTTACTATGTGTAAAAAAATTAAAGAAGGTAACAAGAAGAAACATGTAAAAGACCATGAAAAGGAGTTATTATATGTGGAATTTCCTGAATGTTATGTTTGGGATTCATCATCAAAATCTTGGAGTCCAAGAAAACAGAGACAAGTGATAGGTCGAATAAATGGTGCTAATCCAATTAAAGGAGAGAGATATTACTTGCGACTATTGCTTACTCATGTTAGGTGTCCGAAATCATTTGAAGATCTACTGACGGTAAATGGTACTCATTGCAAATCTTTCAAGGAATCAGCTCAGAAATTAGGTCTTTTGGAATCTGATAATAGCATAAGAGAGTGCTTAGATGAAGCCATTGTCTTCCAAATGCCAACAGCACTTCGACGTTTGTTTGGATAGCATAAGAGAGTGCTTAGATGAAGCCATTGTCTTCCAAATGCCAACAGCACTTCGACGTTTGTTTGCAACTATATTGGTTCATTGTGAGCCTACAGATGTTAATCATTTGTGGGATAAATATCTTGAATCATTATCTGAAGACTTCTTAAGGAAACCAAATGCTACTAGAGCTTTGGTGATAAATGATACTCTTCTCAATATTAACTTCTACTTAGAGAGTATGGGAAAGGATATTAAAAAATTTGATTTGCCACCTTTACAAGCAAATAACATTACAGAGGAAGGTTCATACCCAAGAGAAATTAAAGAAGAGCTAGATGTACAAATCTCAACTGATGATCTAAATGCTGCAACAAAACTCAACTATGAACAACATACTGCATACACTACAATACTAACAAGAGTTGAAGCAAATAAAAGTGGAGTTTTCTTTATTGACGGTCCAGGAGGAACTGGGAAGACTTATTTATATCGTGCTCTACTTGCAACAGTAAGATCGCAAGGTATGATAGCTCTTGCTACAACGACATCAGGTGTCGCAGCTGTAATAATGCCTGGTGGAAGAACAGCACACTCCAGATTTAAAATCAAAATCCCAACAACAGATTCATCTATGTGTGGTATATCAAAGCAAGATGGGACATCAAAACTCCTTAGAATAGCACGTCTAATAATTTGGGACGAGGCTGCTATGGCTAAACACGTTGCAATTGAAACGTTGGATAGAACACTAAGAGATTTAATGGATCAAGATGAACCATTTGGCGGAAAAGTAATTGTATTTGGTGGTGATTTCAGACAAGTTTTACCAGTGGTGCCTCGCTCAACAAGATCACAAACTATCAAAGAAAGTTTAGTGAGCTCACATTTATGGAGAAAAATGATCAAACTACAACTTTCAAAAAATATGAGAGCAAAATCAGACACAGCATTCAGTGAATTCCTTCTTAGGATTGGGAATGGAGATGAACCAACAGTGACACAGGATCTCATAAAACTGCCTAATGCAATGTTGATCCAGAATCAAGGTGATGAGCTACCGGAAGATTCTCTCTTAAATTCAATTTTTCCATCTTTAGACGAAAATTTCAAGTCTATTGACTATATGAAAGATAGAGCTATACTTGCAACAAAAAATGAATATGTTGACATGTTAAATGATAGACTAATAAAAAGGTTTCCAGGAGAAGAAAAAGAATTCTATAGCTTTGATGAAGCAGTTGATGACACTAATCATCATTACCAAGAAGAATTTTTGAACACTTTGCTCCCTAATGGACTACCGCCACACAAGCTAATGTTGAAAAAATATTGTCCAATTATTTTACTAAGGAACTTGGATCCAACTAATGGACTGTGCAACGGTACAAGAATGATATGTCAAGATTTTAAGTACAATGTAATTCAAGCTAAAATCACAATGGGCCAACATGCTTGTTTGTGGGAAATTTTGTAATAAAAAGAATATAAGGAAAGAATTGTGTTTGATTTTATTCTCTCTAACTGCTTAGAAAAAGAATGATTACAACTCTCTCAACTCTCGATTACAATTTGGATTCCTGGTTACAAAAGAGAAGAGAATGATCTGGATTCTCCCCTTTGTTTAATTCTGGGTTCTTCACGGTAGCGATGAGATGCCTCCCTCGAATGCTTGCGTCGAGTTTGCTTCTCGTTGACGATCCGAATATCTATACTCACTGGAACAACTATCTTGGCCGGTTGATAACTCTTGTCGAGTTTTGTGATTCAGAACAAGTAACAAACTCTAATGACAGAGTTGTTGGAACCGAAAATAATTCGGTTAATAAGCCAAATATCGATGGTTTAGAGATCCTCCCTTTGTTGATTTCCCAGACTGTGTAAGGAGTCAATCCTCCTTTTTCTGATTCTGGAAGATTTGATCGAAAGATCCCCCTCCGATTAATGAAAAGAAATCTCTCTTGATCTGATTATCAAAAATCCGATCTCCCCAATCCAAAAAAAAAAGATCCTCACTCTGTTGAGTTTGTTGCTATTTATAGGGGGATTAGGGGTGTAACTGCCCCCATAATCCACGCCTAAATGGGGGTTTAGTTACCCCATTAGTCGGGTGTAACAACCCACTAAAGCCACTCCTCAAATCGTGGGTGAAGAACAGCTTCGAAGTTGTTACGATCACGTTTGAATGAGTCAGAACCTTGACCTGCGTTCTGGCGGTGATTGAGCTGCGTTTGGCAGCGACTGACGGGCTGCGTTGGGCAGTGATGGATGAGTTGCGTCGGCAGCGGTTGATAAGCTGCGTTGGGCAGCGGTTGATAAGCTGCGTTGGGCAGCGGTTGATAAGCTGCGTTGGGCAGCGGTTGATAAGCTGCGTTGGGCAGCGGTTGATAAGCTGCGTTGGGCAGCGGTTGATAAGCTGCGTTGGGCAGCGGTTGATAAGCTGCGTTGGGCAGCGGTTGATAAGCTGCGTTGGGCAGCGGTTGATAAGCTGCGTTGGGCAGCGGTTGATAAGCTGCGTTGGGCAGCGGTTGATAAGCTGCGTTGGGCAGCGGTTGATAAGCTGCGTTGGGCAGCGGTTGATAAGCTGCATTGGGCAGCGGTTGATAAGCTGCGTTGGGCAGCGGTTGATAAGCTGCATTGGGCAGCGGTTGATAAGCTGCGTTGGGCAGCGGTTGATAAGCTGCATTGGGCAGCGGTTGATAAGCTGCGTTGGGCAGCGGTTGATAAGCT